TAATTATTAAATATCTTAATTTTAAAGGATTAATAATATAATTTGTGATTCAATTACTCTTTAATTAAATAAATCATTGTTTTTGATTTTAATAAATTATTATTTATTATTGTGTTTAAATTAAATTTTATGGAGCAAACCACATTGATTTCCCGATCAATAACAAATTCAAGAAATGATCTAAGCCATACAAACTTATGCTAAAATTATAGACCCAATGAGCTAACTAATTGACATTAATACTAGGATCTCTAACCTTGTTTTATCAGTAAGAATAATTTAATAAAATTAAGATAAAAACTAGATTAAGATTTAACTATTCCATAAAAATTTTTATTATAATTCATCAACAGGATAAAATAGTTATTTTCCATAAGCAATTAACATTTAATGGTAGAGTGTGTTTATTTATTAATAAGTGATGGTTATGAAAATGCTATACAAGTTTCTATTAATCAAATTAATTCTATCAGTTCTAACTCTCTTAATGAAATAAAAAAAAGATGAAGATCTATCAAATATAGAATACAAATTATAATAAAGATTGCAAAATGAGGCATAATTAATTTTAAGGATTAAAGGATAAATATTTTGAGTGACAGGCTTAATTCGTTCAGAAAGCATATGATAATTTTAAATATCTGAGTTTAGAAGTTTTTGAGCCTTGTTAATAAAATAATCTTAGAAAATTAGCTGCTGGAAGAAAATAAATTAAGGAACATAGAATTAGCTTTCTCTATACAATTCTACTTCCTTCTAACAACTGAATTGATAGTAGAGCCAGACGAATGACTTAAGAAAAAAAACTTTAACAGGAGATTCTTAGGCTATTAATAATGAAAGGGTATAAATTCTAAAGTATTTTAGCTTTATATCACTCACTTCACTACTTCTAAATGAATAATAAAAATAGTGGTATATTTTTAATCCATAATCATTCAAAAAAAATTAAAGAAATCTTATCAGATCAAATTGTAGAAAATATCGATATCTTGGAATATTAATAGAAAACGATGGAAAAATAATCGAACACATCAAATAATTGAAACAGACAATATAAATTTTAAAATAATGAAATAGATACAATTCAGGATAAAAACTTTAAAAATTCAAGAATAAATAATAAAAAATAGACTAATTTTCTTTAAAAATTAAATAAATGTGTTTTTTTACTTGATTGGCCCAAACTTATCATACATAAGAATTTCAAATTATACATCTACAATATAAACGAATGAAAGAAAAAAAAAAAATTTTACATACCAATATGCCCATATATTTGGATTGATTCTCAATAACGAATTAAGATAAAAAATAATCAATTACTTGCCTAAGAGTTATATTCAATTATTTAAATAATCTCCCTTCAATTCTAATAAATTTCAGAAATTTTACTACTTTTAAGAAGCAATAAATAAAATAGAAGAGTAACGAGAAGAAAGTTAGAAAAATTAATAAATATAATTGATGAGTTAGATAGTTGAAAATGTATTGAAAATTAACTGAGAAACATTGGAACTTATTACATTTTGTTAATATTAATAATAATAAAAACTATTATTGGAATATCAATTAGGACAATTTTTGTGTATTCTTTTTTACTTGAATATTTTTATTTTGTTTTTTCTTTTCAGCAATTACTTCCGTATGTTTGCCATCAACTTAAAAATCTCTTTTAAAATCTAATATATGAAAATTTCTCTCACACAAAAATTTGTGATCAATTTTTTAAAACTTTTTGACACAGATTTTTAATTTTTTAAATTTAAAAATTTTTATCTTTTATTTGCAAGTTGAAATTATTAAGATTGAAAAAAATACTAAAATTTGTTAATTATTTAATTAATGTCAGATTTCATCTAAATCAAGCACTGGATAATCACCAACAATTATTTCATTTGGTCTTACAAATATTCCAAATTTTTGAGGACATTAGAAATATTGAAAACCCTAAATGTTTCCATTATTTGTTCCTGTAGGCTCATCTAATTCTATTCCAACAAAATAGCCCAATCCTATCTCTGGAACCTATCCAACTTAAAATCTAAATTTAAAATATACCATAACGAACTGTTCCTCTTTGCCCTTAATTTATTTAACAACGAGAGTTAATAGCAATTTGCAATGCCTCATCTTCTTAGTAATTAACATTTATTTCTGGTTTGTTTTAGCCTAAGTTTCCTCCAGCAGCTTATTATTATAAAAATTATTTTTTTAATTTCCTCATATTTACAGGTAGTTTATCATAATCTTCATCACTTATTGTGTATTTTTAAACATTAGGAACAATATTTGGATTGTTGTCAATTATGTGCATTTCATAACCATCTTTTGCGCCATAAGTCCCTAAAAATTTTACATCATCATTCAAATATGTGATGAAGTTTCCCTACATATTTAAGCTTAATACTTATTTATCTTTTAATTGCAATTAAATAAATTTAGGATTGCTGCCATATTTTTTTTCGATAGATTCTTTAATGCTTCCAATAGTTTACATTAAATCAAATCTAATACTAATCATTTTGAAGGTAGATATATTATAAGTCAGGTATAAATTTACTGTAGAATCATTGACTTCTGGTCCAGCTTGCATCAAATAATATAATAATTATCATCTATAGAATCAACTTTAAAAATAAAAAAATAAAATTATAAAAGAAATTTTATTAATCTGAGGAATACTTATTATTTTTGATATTCAAACATCCTACTTATTTTTATAAATTTAAACTGAATTATTCAAAGAAAGATTGAAGAATATCGAGAATGCCTAAGAAATTTACTTCTCCTCAGTCGAATAATAATTAGATTTTAAACAGTAACGAAAAATTTATAAGAATTTAAAAATTTTAGACAAATAGAACACAATTATGTATAACTTGGTGAATTATTTAGACTAACAATTAATAAAACTAATGTTTTGATGTTGATAATTTATTATTTATTAATAAAGTATCAATTCTTAATTAATTCGAATATAAATTTTAAAATTAATTTACCATATTGATGGACATACTAAGGAGTATTTCAAGTACATGTATATTTATCTAATTTAATATATGTATATATCCGTTTTCTTTTCAGCAGTTACCATCGTTTGTTTGCCATCAACTTCAAAAATCTCTTTTAAAATTGAATAGATAAAAATTTTCCTCACAGCAACTTAAAGTTTGTTTTTTGAGAGAATAAAATTATTAAAAGAAAGGGAAGAGAAAAAAACTAAAGATAAATCAATTTTTTAAAATATTTAGACAAAGATTATAATTCTTATCTTTTATTTGCTATTCGAAATTTGTAAGATTCAAAAAAACTATTATTTATAGCTTATTTAATTAATTTTTTAAACCCAAATATAGAATATTATCACATGTCAGATTTCATCTAAATCAAGCACTGGATAATCACCAACAATTATTTCATTTGGTCTTACAAATATTCCAAATTTTTGAGGACATTAGAAATATTGAAAGCCCTAAATGTTTCCATTATTTGTTCCTGTAGGCTCATCTAATTCTATTCCAACAAAATAGCCCAATCCCATTTATGGAACCTATCCAACTTAAAATTTAAATTAAAATATACCATAACGAACAGTTCCTCTTCTTTACCCTTAATTTATTTAACAGCGAGAGTTAATAGCAATTTACAATGCCACCTCTTCTTAGTAATTATCATTTATTTCTGGTTTGTTTTAGCCTAAGTTCCCTCCAGCAGCTTATTATTATAAAAATTATTGTTTGAATTTCCTCATATTTACAGGTAGTTTATCATAATCTTCGTCACTTATTGTGTATTTTTATACTTTATTGACATCTTCTAAACCATTAAGAACACTATTTGGATTGCTGTCAATTATGTGTACTTCATATCCATCTTTTGCGCCATAAGTCCCTAAAAATTTTACATCGTCATTCATATATGTGATGAAGTTTCCCTACATATTTAAGCTTAATACTTATTTATCTTTTAATTGCAATTACATAAATTTAGGATCGCTGCCATACCTTTTTTCAATAGATTCCTTAATGCTTCCAATAGTTTACATTAAATCAAATCTGATATCAATCATTTTGTTGGTAGATATATTATGAGTCAGGGTTAATTTTACTGTAGAATCATATATTAATGGCTCAGCTTACATCAAATAATAAAATAATTATCATCGATAGAATCAATTTTAAAAATAAATAAATAAAATTATAAAAGAAATTTTATTAATCTGAGGAATACTTATAATTTTTCTATTCAAGCCTCATGCTTATTTTATAAATTTAAACTGATTACTGAAACAAAGACCAAATTGTATTGAGCATTCCCATTAAATTTCTTTTCCCCAGTTGAATAGTAATTCGAAAAATTTTAGATCTCAATTTATAAATTTCACAAACCTAACCATTCCTTACAATCCCCTAAAATCTTTCGAAATAAAAAATAAAAAATTCAATTTTTAGCTGTAATAATATGCATTAGATCTTAATTTTAATAAACGAAGAAGTTTATAAGAAGTTAAAAGGAATTTTAATGTTAATAACTAATGTCAATCTTTAATCATAAATTTAATATTATTAATACTCTAATAGCATGAATATATAATCTTTGATTTTATTCAATTTTAAGTTTTTAAAATAATCTAAATTTATAATTTAGGAGAGCAAATAATTAATAGATCTTGATGATATTTACATGAATTATTGTCAAATATTTGAATTAATAGGAAGTCTAAATGATAATGAATACAAAACCTTTTAGGAATATAGAAAAAAATGATTTAAAAAAAAGAATTGCCAATAATAATGTTGATTTTAATCTCTATTAGGTTAATAATTTTATGTTTGGATAGTATTACTATCAGTTGATTTATTTAGTTATTTGTTCTATTAATAATAATTTCTCACTTATTATAATTTAAAATTTTGATTTCAGTTAGCATTAATTATTATTAAATAATATGAAAAGACCCATTTAATATAAAATTCATAATTAAATAAATAAAAAATGTTCTTGATCAATTGAAAATTAAAAATAAATACTGTAAACTAACTAAAAGTAAATCTTAATTTATTAAAAGATTATAAAATTAATAAATTCTATATGTGCTAATACATAATTTGAGAATGTGAGTTCCTTTTTTTTTATAAATATAAGGTAATAATTTTAATACAAATATAATTTATAAAAAATTAATTTATTCTTTATAAAGTTAGTTTAATCATGAATTCAATATTGATAATTTAAAAATAATAAAATAAAGTTCGAAATCAATTGATTTTTGCAGTGTTATCTGGAGCATCGTTTTTTCTATCACTTGGAGATTCTGCAAGTTACTATTTTGAAACATCTGGTATTTGCTCCTTTTATTATTGTTCTTTTGATTATTAGTCTGGTTAAGGTTTTATTTAATCATATTTATTTCTTTCATCTACCCATTTTACAAAGTAATTAGCCGATAATTATCCAATGACAAGTGTTCCCATGAATAAAATATTTATATGCACAGTAAACTATGGAAAAAGAGCAAATGCAGGTCCAGGACAAAATCCACCTACTCCCCATCCAAATCCAAATATTGAAGCCCCACAAACTAATTTCCAATCTATTACATTATTAGTTGGAATTTCATATTTGGAATTCAAATATGGTTTTTCTTTTGCACGAAAAGCAAAGAAATTTATAACTACTGGAGTTACCATAACAAATAGAAGGGTAGCTAATATATAAATGAATATTATTACGATCCCATCTATCATTAATTGCTAAGAATCCAATAATTTTACTTCTTTTTACCATACCAGAGATGGCTAATCCTAATCCGAAAATAAATCCAACTAGAGTGGCTACTGCCAAATCGATCAGCAATTCTCTTTTTTTTAAGTATTAGAATCCGGCCATAACGATTATGATTACAAAAGCTAAAACTAAAGTTGTAATGGCACAAGCTTCATGATCATAATCTATTGGTTTTGGATGTTCCAATGGAACTTAATTATAGTTATAGATTCTTACTAAAGTTTTCTTTAATTGAGGCAGTTAATAATCCCATTCCCATAAAACAACTAACTGCAACAATTGATCTCGGAGCCAATCTTGGTAATCCACAAACACCATGACCACTAGTGCATCCATTGCCCATTTTAGTACCAAATCCTACACAGAATCCTGCTATGATTGATCCACCCCATCCTATTTATGTTAATATTAATAAGTCATCATATGCAGGAGTGCCTCCATCAATAATTGCTTTTTCTGTTCTTTTAAAATATAATTTATTCATACCCATATGCTAAGTAAAAAATACTTGAGGCAATCACAACTCCCATCATCAAAGAAACCTTCCAAAAAAAAGATGGAAGATCATATGTAACAATACTGTAAAGAATTCCACTAAATCCAGTCACTCTACCCTTTACAATGTAGTGAAGTGATGTAGCAATACCTATTAAGGCTCCGCCAATCACAGCTAATCCAATATCCGTTCCATTCCAGAAAACCATTAATATTTTAGAGATTAATAAAAATTGTTCAAATCTTGTTTAATTAACTTATGTATTTATACTAAAATTTTAATTAAAAATTTTATACTTTTATTTAATAAGTAAATATTAATAAAAATTGTCATAATATTAATGCATAACAATTTCTTATTAATTCTTTAAAGTATAAAAAATCCAATAAGAATAAAATAAGCATTTTTCGGTCTAATACCTCTGAGTATTATTATGCAACTCATTATAATAATCAATCAGNACTACTGGAGTTACCATAACAAATAGAAGGGTAGCTAATATATAAATGAATATTATTACGATCCCATCTATCATTAATTGCTAAGAATCCAATAATTTTACTTCTTTTTACCATACCAGAGATGGCTAATCCTAATCCGAAAATAAATCCAACTAGAGTGGCTACTGCCAAATCGATCAGCAATTCTCTTTTTTTTAAGTATTAGAATCCGGCCATAACGATTATGATTACAAAAGCTAAAACTAAAGTTGTAATGGCACAAGCTTCATGATCATAATCTATTGGTTTTGGATGTTCCAATGGAACTTAATTATAGTTATAGATTCTTACTAAAGTTTTCTTTAATTGAGGCAGTTAATAATCCCATTCCCATAAAACAACTAACTGCAACAATTGATCTCGGAGCCAATCTTGGTAATCCACAAACACCATGACCACTAGTGCATCCATTGCCCATTTTAGTACCAAATCCTACACAGAATCCTGCTATGATTGATCCACCCCATCCTATTTATGTTAATATTAATAAGTCATCATATGCAGGAGTGCCTCCATCAATAATTGCTTTTTCTGTTCTTTTAAAATATAATTTATTCATACCCATATGCTAAGTAAAAAATACTTGAGGCAATCACAACTCCCATCATCAAAGAAACCTTCCAAAAAAAAGATGGAAGATCATATGTAACAATACTGTAAAGAATTCCACTAAATCCAGTCACTCTACCCTTTACAATGTAGTGAAGTGATGTAGCAATACCTATTAAGGCTCCGCCAATCACAGCTAATCCAATATCCGTTCCATTCCAGAAAACCATTAATATTTTAGAGATTAATAAAAATTGTTCAAATCTTGTTTAATTAACTTATGTATTTATACTAAAATTTTAATTAAAAATTTTATACTTTTATTTAATAAGTAAATATTAATAAAAATTGTCATAATATTAATGCATAACAATTTCTTATTAATTCTTTAAAGTATAAAAAATCCAATAAGAATAAAATAAGCATTTTTCGGTCTAATACCTCTGAGTATTATTATGCAACTCATTATAATAATCAATCAGATAATGAAAAGTAACATTATATAAATAAAAAATAAAAAAATTTAAGATGTGAAGTATTGGTTTATTGAAGTTCTTTATCTGATATTATTTATAAAGACATTAGAACTTCAAAAATCTTTGTTTTTTTATAATTCAAGAATAATTTAAGAGTAGTTTTTTTATGATGAAGATCATATAATATTTGAAGAAAAGAGTTTTTAATTTGATATTCCATGAGTTCATCTTTAAAATCTTAATGAAGATATATCGAGCAATTTTTAGAATGAAATAAGATTTAGAAGAAAAAGAAACCAAAAATAATGTTGAAATATATTAGAACTATAATATTAAAAAACTAAATAGCATCAAATTTATGATATTAAACCTCAAAATCACTGCAATAAAAATTGAAAGGATAAAAAATAAAAATTCAATATAAATTTTTTATCTTGATTAACAATTTTTTAAATCATTTAAATCAATAGAAAAACTTTATTATAATGATAATCTCTTAGATTGAAGGTATTGTAGAGCCAAAAATAATTGTTTAATTTTCTTATTAATTTTGCTAAAGATAAAAATTGAATGCGGAGGGCTCACCAGACTAACCTGTGCCCATTTTGTGCTAGACTCCCTGGGACGCTACTCTCCAAAACCTAAATTGAATCTAGCCTTGACAAGAGGTTCATTGGTTTTAAAGCTGTGAAGAATGGTTTGAGAAGCATGTTCCTTAATAGGATCCATATTTGGTCTGTCTTTTATATAAGAATGTTTGATATAATGTATAAGTTGATATATATTTGGAATATTAAATCAATTATTCATAAATTTTAAATTTATATATATATGTAGAGTAAAACTATAAAATCATAATAAATTGAGTTTCTCCATAATATGCTTAAGTTTCTTAACTTATAAAGGTTTATTAAGAACTTCAATCATTCCAACCTACTTACATTGTTCAAGATCTTATTTACTGGTAAAAGCTGTAAAGCCAACAATAGGAATAGGTTTGAGTTGTCCTTATTGAAACTTCTATTTCAAGATTCTAGAAGTTTACCATCCATCCAATACAGGCATTTGACAATCCATTAAAATAAGTAAATACTTGCGACATTATTAACCGCAGGAAATTTTCTACTCTATCATTTTAATTGCTTATTAGCCATTATAAGCAGTTTCAATTTCAAAATTGAATTTTTATAATATACAAGTTAAGGATTGTTAATTAAAGATTTCATCATCAACTGAAAGGATAGTTCTACAATTGCATTTTTAATATTTTTGTTCTTAAGATTTAGGTATTTTAGAACTTTTAGACTATCTAACCCATCCATTTTTATATAATAGATTTAATTCTGTAACCAAATGAGTTTAAGCATCAGGTATTTTCATGAAATCCTCAATTGCTTTATAAGATGTTAAAGATTGATTTAAGATTTATTTATTTTCTACATTTAAGATTTGCTTACTTTCTGTTTAACTTTTGATTGTAATGAGTAATCCATTATATTCATCTAAATCAGGTAATGTTAATATTTGATCATGAGCTTAAACATTTTTTCTTGTTTTAACATAATAATCATTCATATTAATATGATTAGTAATATTAAATTAAACTGTAGTTCCTAAACCTAAACCTTATGAATTAATGATTAAATCATTATTTTAAAGTGGTCCTAAGTATCGCAATAACATTTAAGATAAAATCAAACCAAAACCATTCCAATCTTAAGTTGAAGTGTGATGATCTTTTAAAACATTTTAGATTTAATATAACTTTGATGAAGTTATTCCAACACCTTCATCTGCAATTGAGAATAGAATAGTATTGTATGAATTATTAGTTTTAATAGTAACTAAAACATATCCATGCTGTGAATATTTTAATGCGTTATAAAGTAGATTTATTAATATTTAAAGTAATCTTTGATAATCTGATTTGATTGTTGGTGGAACGTTGTAATCTATTTTGAAAGCTAATCCAATTTTTTTAGCTTTAAATTCAAATTTAAATAATTATGTTAATTCCTAGGTTAGTTCCTTTAAGTAGAATTCAGAATATTTAAGTTCTAAAATTTCAGCATTAATTTAAGAGAAATCTATAATATCATTCACTAAATGAGATTATCTCATTAATGATGATAATCCAGGCAATATATAATTATCTCTAATAAATTTATCTAATCGATTATCAAGCAAAGCAGATTTAAAGAATAATGTAGCACTATTTAATGGAGTGCGTAATTCATGACTAAATGAACTTATCATTTTAGATTTAAATTCTTCTTGTTCTTCAATTCTTTATAATTTATTTTATCTTGTATAATCTTAAATGATAACTGTCATTTCTACTTAATCAGGACTGTAGAGTACTTTAAGATTTAAATGAATAATATTATTAACATTTAACTGATATTTACAATACAATTCTAGAGTATGATCTTAATCATTTAATTAATTATCAAAGAAACCATCTTAAAGTTTATTAATAATTTGATTAAGAGAATAAACTTTTTATGGATGATGAATTTCAAATTCGCTTATATTTTTTGAAGATTCTGATCCTTTTTTTTTATGAGCATTTTAAGATTATGTAAGAGTTCTTCCAAAAAAATCTACTTAAATATTTGCTTTGCTTTATCTCATACTAAAATAGTGAGAGAAATTGCTTCTTTTATATTCAGAACCTTAATCTATAACTTTAAATTTCAATTAATTCAGTAAATATGCTGGATAATCTTCAAGTTCTATTTAAAGTGTTTTGGTCATCATTTAATCTAGATATTAATTTTTATAAGTAAAATCATTAGTATTCTTATCAATTAAGGCAATACCAACAGGTATGCTCTTTAATCTTTGTTTCCAAATTTTATCTTATAACTAAGATTAATGACAAATTTCAATGGATATTTATTCTGATTGTTTAAGAGGTCTTCCTGAAGAAAGTTAAATAGAAATATTTGATTTTTTGAATTGTAATTCATTATTATCAAGAAAAGAATCCATTTTAGCTGAATTTGGTTGATCCAATTCAATCAGTTCTTTCATTTCTTTACGTGACGACTGTAATTAAAGTTAATGTAATTGATTTTAAACTTATCGATTTTAGATTTATGATTACTGTAATTAGATTGCACTATTATTTGTAATTTTTTCAGCAATTTACAAAAAAATGTGTTAAGGGGCTTATGATAATAAATATACAAACATCGCCGTAATAAGAAACAATTGATCATTCAATTACTTATTTAAAGTTGCACTTACGCTTGCATAAAATATTACTGCATATTAAAAATTGAGGAAATATTATTTTTTTTCAATTAAGGCTAAAATTGGTTGAGTATCAGATATTATATAAAGTATTAAAGATGTGCAATCATAATAAGTACGTTAAAAGAAAAAGGATGTTATTAAGGCTATATTTGATAGTTTATGAATGACAATAACAAAGTTTGTGTACTTCTTGATAAGGATAAGGGATGTTAAGCATTCCAAAATATTCAAAATCAAACATACAAATAAGGCTGAAAAAGTACATCTTATTGTAAGTACTACTGTCATTATAAGACTACTTACAAAGAATAATTGAATTGGATAATAATTTTTCATTTATTTTAAACATTAATAATCTCTTCTAGATAGTCAAAATTATGCTATAAAAATAATAGCTTATAATATATACCATTATAGAATATTAAAATAATTGAATATAATTATAGATAAAAATGATTCTCAGAGAAAGTCAATCAGTAATAAAAATAAATTTATAAAAAAATAAATAATTTTTAAAAACAAAATGCTGAAATTTGATTTATATCGTAAATTACCATAGGACTTAATAGAACCATCAAAATCAGGTGCCTTAATCTCCTTTACGTCATTGATTTTGATGTTTTTATTATTTATTACAGAATTTTAGGTAAATCAAAGTCATAAGGAAAGGAATATCTGACTCAACAAGTACAAACTGAAATGTATGTTGATTAAAATAAGGATGATACACTTTTAGTTAATATGGATATTTCATTTCCTTTCATGCCTTGTGATTTTATTAGTATTGATTAATAAGATGTAATCGGTACACATTAATAAAATGTAAAAGGAGAGTTATTAAAAAATAGGATATTAAATGAAAAAGTGATTGATACATATGTATTATAAATAATAATAATTTAGTTATCAAGTGATGATACCTTAAATTTTGAGAGAGCTTAAAAAGCTTATGAATAGAAAGAAGGTTGTGAATTGACAGGATATATAATAATTAGCAGAGTTCCAGGTAATTTTCATATATCTGCTCATCCATATGGAGGATAAGTAAATATAGTTTTACCTTTTGTTGAATTGTCAACAATTGATTTATCCCATTCAATTCGACACTTGTCATTTGGAAATTAAAATGATATATAAAAAATTAGAGAGAAATTCAAATAAGGTCTTCTCAATCCTTTAGATGGAATAAGTAGAATAAAAACAAAAGAACTTAAAAACGTTGGAGTTACTCATCAATATTATATTTCAATTGTGCCAACTATCTATGTTGATATTGATAATAAAGAATATTTTGTAAATTAATTCACAGCTAATACAAATGAGGCATAAACAACATCTATGCCTGCAATTTATTTTCGTTATGATATATCACCTGTTACTGTGCAATTTACTAAATATTACGAAAGTTTTAATCATTTTATTGTTTAACTTTGTGCAATTTTAGGAGGAGTATTTACAATAGCTGGAATAATAGATTCTATATTTTATGCATGTAACATTTAATTTAATATATTTAAGTATAAAAAACTAAGGTAATATTGGATTAATGAGTGTAATAAATAAAATTAAATTATATTATAAATAAATAAATAAATTTTCTTAGATCTAGGTAATTAATTTAATAATAATTTATTATATGTCATTGAAAGACTTTTAGATATTGCAAGAATTAGGTATTCAAAATATAAGAACTAGGTGAGGGAGCTTATTCTAAAGTATTTAAAATTAAAAGGATAGCGGATTAACAAGAATATGCTCTTAAAAAGGTCAATTTACAATTCCTTTCTGATAAAGAGAAATAAAATGCCCTTAACGAAGTAAGAATATTAGCAAGTGTAAGACATGCTAATATCATTTAATATAAGGAAGCTTTTTTGGAAGAATAATCTTAAACATTATGGTAACTTTTTAGATGCAATTATTTTAAGTATCGTTATGGAGTATGCCGATGATGGAGATCTCTTCTAAAAAATAGTAGAATGTTAAAAGAAGGCAGTTCTTATGTCTGAAAAAGATATTTGGAATATTTTCATTTAAGTATTTCATAAAATCTATAAATATTACAGATTGTAAAAGGTTTAAAAGCTTTGCATGATATGAAGATTTATCATAGAGATCTTAAATCTGCCAATGTTTTTATGAATATAGATGGAACTGTTAAATTAGGAGATATGAATGTATCTAAAGTTGCACGTAAAATACTACTTTATACACAAACTGGAACACCTTATTATGCCTCTCCAGAAGTTTGGAAAGATTAACCTTATGATTCTAAATCAGATATTTGGTCTTTAGGTTGTGTTTTATATGAAATGACTACACTTAAACCACCATTTCGAGCTGAAGATATGAATGGTTTGTACAAAAAAGTTGTAAAAGGTTATTATCCTAAAATACCAACAATTTATAGTTAAGATTTAAGTAATGTAATCAGAGCTTTGCTCTAAGTTTAACCACATTTAAGACCTAGTTGTGATAAGATTCTATAACTATCAGCAATAGTAAATAGATTAGATGATAAGGTCTCAGTTGAAGAAGAAGGAGCAAAATTTTTATTATAAACAATCAGAGTTCCTAGAAATATGCACTATCTAACCGATAGATTGCCAAAACCTAATTATAATCCTATTAGAATGACTAAAATTGATAAATAATAGTTTATCTAAACTTTGGCTATTTAAAAATTAAATTAAGAAAACTTAGAAGAAAATCACTCATTACATGTTGATTTTTTACCTCGTCTTAATAAAAGAAATGAAGACAGTTTTGATAATTCGGTTGTTTCAAAAAATAACAAAAAAAATGATGAGACTGATAATATTATTCATAAGAATAACTAAATAAGCTAAATATATGGTGTTGGAATCTAAGTTAAGAAAAAAGAATAAAGAATTTCTAACAAATCTTAAAAACATGATCCTGTAAAATCCAACAAAAAAAATGATTTAGAAGGAGAACTTAAACCTTTGATTATAAAATCGTAATATATATTTATATTTTGTTAGATATAGTCCTAAAAATCTCAATGATGATAGATAGCCTTTATTACCACTCTTACCTAGCATTAAAAAAGAAGTCTCTAAATAAAATGAAGAAGATTAATTGAAAAAGATTAAACAAACAGAAGAATTAATATAATAATTAAAGGATAGACAATAGAAGCATAAAAAGAATTAGAAATTATGAATAACTGATTGATAATAGAATATATTATTTAATTTATCAAATTCTTTACACCTTTGTGACTTATAACATTTCTCCAATTTTTTAATTAAATTTTAAAGCATATTTGATTTCTGTTCTGCACAAGAAACATTATTTAGTTGTCTTCATAATATTTTCTGAGCAACCTATGCAAATACCTCCATGATTACAAGGATTTAAGATAATTTCTGGTTCATTTTCAAAACATATTAAACAAATATCACAAGAATCTTAATTTTTTGTAATTGTTTTAATTTATTTGGTTATTGTTAAGCATTAAGATTATCTTAAATTAACAGAATCAGGTCTTGAAATTTCACTATTAATTGGAATCGAACTACTGTTTCTATTATTTAATTGATTTATTGTTTTCTTTGTTACTAACTTATAAAAAGAAGCAGAAACTCTGATAAACATAATTGGAATTTTTAGTTTAGTCCATTTCTATTTTGTTACTTCTATTTAGGGAGATTTTGGAATTTAAATTTGAACTTATCTATTCTCTATCTATAAAACTATTCTATCATATTATAATAAGTAAAATACATCAATTATTTCCTAATTTTGTTTGTAAAGAAAACAAATGAGATTAGATAGAGAATTATAGAAATCAAGACGGTAATACCAGCTATTCTAATATTAATTTAGATGGTATCATTTTCATAATATTAGCATATTTCCTTTAAAAGAAAAAATGGAATAATGGTTAATCCAAAGATATAAAAGATTATCCAGAGAATTATTGATCCTTTGATAAAATAATATAATTACCATCAATTTCTGGCATGTCTTTAAGGAAGCAGTTTTCAACTAAAGTGATAAGTAATAAGATAATTATAAATGTGTTAATTCCTAAAGCTGACCATGCTATGATAAAGGTTTGATAATAAGAGTAAATAAAAATTTAATTCCACTTGAGAGATAATAATAACAATTATATGATATATAAAATTGAGTAAAAATGAGCAATCTAAATAAGTAAAATAATACTATAAGATGCTTTCTTTTATTTTGATCTTTTTGTAAAACTTAATAAAGAAATAAGCCAATATTCATAATAATTTAGATAGCAGGAATGTAATATAAATTAATCTGCATAACTTCAAAATGAATAACTATAGTGATCTTATGAAATTGTAAAATTACTTTAAATGAAACACTTAATGCTTTTTCAACAAAATGAATACAAGAGATGGCTTTAGTTGTGTCTTTGTCAATTAATACAATAATAAATGTGATCAAATCCATAATCCAAGCAAAAATAATGATATATTTGGAATCAAATAGCCAAATGAGTTTTAAACTAAAGATAAGCATGTATAATTAGCAAACAAAATTGAAAAAACATATTCGATTAACTTCATTGGAAAACTAAGATAAATAAATGATACTTAACTTCTATATCAGCTTATTAAGATCGATTTTAGTCTTAGTATTGATTCATAAAACTGATAGTTATAAAAATAATTTAACTTGTTGATTTAGACGGGATAAATAAAACATTGTTAGATTTATAAAAAAGATTGTTATAAACTTACAAATTATAAAGACAAAAAAAAGTTCATTATAAAAAAGCACTTTATCTGAGTTGTTAAATTGTTGCTCTTTATAATGGATGTAAAGAAAAACACATTAAAAGAAAGTTCTTTAATTCTTAAGAAACATTTTCTGGAATTTTTGGCGATTCTTGATTAAATGCAATAGCGAGAAGTGTTGATGCAACATTATCAAAATCAAGTTATTCAGACCAAGGATGTTTACCTGTTAACATTTCTAAAATCAAACATCCAAAAGACCAAATATCAGCAGGAGTGTCAATTTATTCTTATCTAACAACCTCTGGGGCCATCCAAGGAATACTTCCTTAAAGTATACTTTAACTTAAATTTTATTTGATTTATCTGCTACAACCAAAATCTGAGATTTTAATATCACCACTTGAATCTAATAAAATATTGCTTGATTTTAAATCTAAATGTAATATCCCTTTTTGATGTAAGTATTCCAAACCATTAAGGATTTAATGAATATAGGCTTTTATAGTTGATTCTGTCATTGGGCCAAATTCATTTAATAATTAAGAAATTGATCCTATAAAAATTTAATTGAAAATATACCCATTGGCATATATTCTTAATAAATTAATAAACTATCTTTTGTTGATATATGAGATATATATTTTATTATGTTTTGATGTTAAAGGATTTAAAGAAATGATAGTTCAATCTAATTTAATTTGTATATTTTACATCTACTTTTTACTGATTCTTGAATTTGAACAGTACTTTTTTACATGCCACAACTTCACCAGTGTCCATGTTCATTGCCTAATAAACTTAAGCATTTGAACCAGAACCAATCAATTTACCTAATTTGTATTGACAATCTTTCTTGACACAATCTTTAATTTGAATGAATCTATTTATTGGCGCAAGGGTGATATGATGCTTTATTTTTGTGGGAACTTTTAAAACTCTATGTTTCCCATGACTTTATTAAGTAGTATAATCATTAATACCTTTAACTAGCAGCTCTTATTGTATTATTAACAGACCTCATTATTTTTACTTAATCTAACTAAACAATTATCTAAGAAATAAATTATATATATATATATTTATTTAATCATATAAATATCTCGATCTTTATATCTTTAATTATAATTTATAAATGTGTATTTCAAATACTCAAAGATTTTCATTTAATATCAGAATATATAATACATTAAATTTACCAAAACCTATTTTATCATTATAATTAGCATTAAATTATATAGGATAAAATAAATTAATAAAACTTATTGCAAAATGTTGAAGAAATTGTAATAAAGATTTGGAAAAGAAAAATATCAAGAAATGGATGATGAAAAGAATAATAAATAACAAGATTCATCATTTTCATAGTTTAATGCAACATTATAATTAAACTAATTAGATAACAATTGTTGTAATAAACTACAATATCTAAGCAATTAATAATAATCAAGATTAGATGATTGTTATGACAGATAGAACATAAATTGATTTCACTAAAGCACTCATTCCAGAAGAACTTCAATAACAAATGTAGGAAGAAGAAATTAAAGAAATTGCTATTTAAAATAATAATAAGAAGTATAAGAAACCAATTAAAAATGATGATTTACCTGAATTTTTATCTAAAAAAATATGTTTAGATGAAAACGGAGAAAATTATTATGAGATAGCAGCAAAAAAAGCTAAAGAATAAAATAGTACTTTGTTTTAATTAAAACATTATGTATCCACCAAAGCTAATAATGTTTAATAATAGGTCAAAGTAAATATTGTATTGATATACACATAGAATACTCTTAAAAAATTAGATGCTCATGTTAAAAAGAAAATTTTAGAAAAAAAACAACATATCAATCTTTGGATTGCTGGATAATTAGATGCTAAAATTGTATCTTTAATGAGTAACATGGAACCAAAAATAACAGAAAGTGTAAAAAAATCTGTTCCTTTTGATTTTATGTAAAACTTTATGCATGACACAGCTATCAATTTATGGAAAGACTTTACAGATTTAGTAAGATTAGAAATTAGAGCAAAACTGGATACTAAAAAAGTAGAAATTAAAAATAGAAATGTTAATGGTCCTTTAAATTACATTAAAAATTTTATTTTATATTCCCTTTATCCTGCAGATCTCACTACTCGAGATCATATGAGTAGAATTTCATACAAAATAATCAAATTATCACAATTTACACCATACATGGGAATTTAACCATTCATCTTTTCTATTATTTTACTTTGTATAAATAAAGTAAATATTTAATTTTATTAGTTTAGGAAGAATATTAATTAGTTAATTACATAGCAGATTATAAATCAATATAATTTATAACTAATGGATTATTTTCTTGTCTAATTGCTTATTTCTATTAATTTTTCTATGATTAAGCACCAGGCCAACACCATTCAATATTTGTGCTTTCTATCACATTTTTGGCTTAGTTTATCAATGTTTGGATAGCATTTTTCTTATTAAAAAGATCACATTCTAAAGGAGATGCTATTAAAGCAGCATTAACTATTGCTCAAGATGAGAAAGGTGGTAGATTAAAATATTTCCTAATTTATGATTTAATCTGCTTAATTCTAATTATTAGCGCATCAAGTATATTTCTAGAATTTATTTCTAGTTATTATTTATTTAGAACATACAATATATGATCCAAAATAATCATTTGGAGATTTGTTATTTTTTACAAGAACAATTTATGCATTCTTAAGTTTTCCTTTCATTATCTTTATTTTTCCATTTTTTGTAAAATTGTTAACAAACGCAGTTGCCACTGGATATGATAAATATGGGAATTGCATTTAAGCATCAAGTTCAATTTAAATGATTTACAAAGAGACAGCTTTAATGAGAAAAGAAGATGTAGATATTGAAGAAATTATTGATTAAGATGATTAGGAAATTGATGATAACAAAGATTAATCTAAGAAGAAACATTAAGGGCTTAATAAAACTGTTGGATGATTTAATTAAGTTTTCTTAAATATTTATAAACATCACATTTTATGTATTTTATTGGCTTTTTTTCTGTTTTACTCCATTTTTAATTTTCTCTATTCTCTTTTAGCTTTTAATTATGATGGAATACGAAAGAATTAATCTTATTTCTTTTATATTCCTTTCTTAAATTATTTCATTTTAGCAACTAAAGCAAAATCATCGTCACCAACTTTGGATTTAATTTTTCTTATTTTTTTTCTTATCACTCTGCCACTTGTTCTCATCTCATTTTTTAATTCTAAGTCCTAATATTAGATTTTAATATTACTAAATTAGTTTCAACTTATGATATTTGAACATTTTCGATTTTATTATGCTTTAACTTTTTCTTATCAAGTTATTATTTTCTGAACTTCAATTATTTAAATCTGTTTTCCATTATATGTATAGGTTATTTCTAAAGTATTGTCAAAATGTTTTCTTCAAAAATCAAAGTTTTGGCAATGATAGCCTTATCATAAGCTTCTTTATTTTGAAAAGTTACATAGCCTACTCCTTTAGATTCACCATCATCATCTTTCAATATAGTGATATAAGCAATATCACCAAATATAGAAAATGCTTACTATAATTACTAATTGGTTGTATGAGGAATGTTAAGTACACTGATTGTATATACTTCTTATTCGACTTCATTGATAAGAGAAGCATGAAATTTCTAATTGTTTAATTACTATTAAGCCTCTTTTGCTTCCTGTTTATATAAATATCATTAATACTTATTATGTTGCAAATAAGATGTAAATTCCATTAGAATTTTATATTTATTGAAAGGGTTTTATATTTTTAGGTATATTAGTTGCATTATCGATTTAAATTGTTCTAGAATTGATGGATTTGATTTGAGCCATTGATAAAGTATCAGTCACAAAAGGATTCATAAATTAATTTATTATTAATTAATAATAAAAAAATTAAAAATAATAATAATTATATGAGAAAAGGAATAGAAGTAAATAATATAATCAAACTTTATAACTTCTATTTTGACTCTTTGCATTTCTTGCTAAACCCTGTTATTCTAATAGATGATTATCCATTGTATAATTAAGAATTTTACAATCTTATGAAGTCTCAATTTTCTTGAATTTTGTTACCTGATCTCTAAGTTTCGATCTTGAAATTAAAAATCAGACTTTACCTTGATTTTGGAATGATTTGAAATTTTTATAAGGTTCCTTCAAAATCATCAGAATCAGTTTGAATTCTTATGTTTTCAGGAATCCTTTTTCCATTCAAAAATATATTTTGTGTATTATTAAAAGAGTAACTATTAATTTATGTGGTTCTTTTGTTGATAGGATTACTAAAGTTATTAAAATTTCAAATACTTATTATTATCATTAATTTTACGTTATTGAGCAATTTTTAAGATTTACAGGATATATTTAGATTATTTCTTTTTATCAGATGAAATAGTTGGAGTAGCTCTAAAATATTAGTTTTTTTATGTTTTATGAGTTACACTATCTCTATTTTGATTCGCATGTTAACTCATTGTATTTAAATTGATCATATAATTATCAATGAGCCTTCCAATAGATGTACTTGATTGATTTTGACAATGAGATTTGTATTAGCTAAAATATAAAGGTGAATTAGAACTTTTTTTATTTTGGATTTAGATCATTAAATTTTTGAGTTGTATTTTAAGAATTATTCTCTTCAATTGATTCAGGTAATTTCAATAACTTTTCATTCAAAGCCTTCATAAAAAGAGGTGATGTTGCATCAGTTAAACGTTCTATGTTATTGCAATTAAGATTATAAAATGTAGTATCTTTGAGAGATTAAAGAGAATTATCAGATGAGGATTCATAATCTTCTTTAGGGAATATAAATGTATGATTAATTTAGCAATTCTTATATCTATCAAATGATTTTGTTAATACTTAAATTCAATTTCTTATTTAAAATCTTCAGGTTCTAAATCTTCATCAGGTTATGTTTTAATGATTTATTTTACTGGACCTTAGGGTTTGTTGATTTTTTATAATATGTGATATTTCATTAAATCTTTATCTATGTTTGAATGATTTTTGAACTAAGGACTCTTTGTTTTTTTAATTCTGTTGGACATTATTATTATAAAAGTAAATATATTAATAATAAAACTAACTAAATATTTGAATCAAGCAAGAGGATATCTTTTGTTGTTTGTTTTAAGTTTTTATTAGTTGATGATCCAATGTTAAACTGTACTCAAAAGAAAGATAAGTTTATTTAAATACTTACCAATTTTACCTATTTCAAATTTATCATACAATCCAGATAAATGATTCACATTATTGAATGAATTCTTATCATTTGCTAGGCATAAATATTAATACATTTCTAATTTTCTATTTGGAGTCATATGACTTAATAATACTCTATCTTTGATAATTCCAATATTAAGATGAGGATTAGATATTACTAATTTTGACATATCAAATTAACCTCCAGATTCTAAGATTTAAGAATTAAATTTAGGTTTCTTTTATCTAATATTTGTGTTTGCTTCTTCTTTAACTAATTTTGAATCTGGAATTTTTCTTTAAAAATATTTAACAGCACTAACAATTGACACTTAAACTTGCTAGGGTTAAGTTAATACAATTTCATAACATTCATCATCAGATGTAACTACATCTATATCAACTACTTAATGTTCTCTATTAATTCTATTTGATAAACTTCCTTATTCCAATCTACTTTGAGCAAGAACTCTCACTCTTGAATCTGGTGCCTTTTTATTTAATAAGAATTTAAATACTTCACAATATCCTCCAATCATTTTTTCATGGAATAGTTTGGCTTTTTCTATTTAACCTACATAGAAATAATATTTTCCAAGTAAATCATAAGCATAAAGTTCATGATTTTTTTCATTTAATTTCCAAGCTGACATCAAATATTTTGTAAAATATAATTAGCTTAATTTGGGTCTTACTCTTAATAAACATTCTCCTAAACCTCTATATGCTTTCATTTTATTTCGATAGAATTATTCATTATCAGAGAGTCTTTTGCATAATTTAAAGTAAATAGCTCCAGATATTGGATTAAAAAATAACTGTTCCATTTTACCAAATATATAACAAAATCTTTATTAAATACAAATATTTTTCTATTTAAAGCATTCCTACATTATCTCTTTCATTTCTTATTCACTCTTCTCTCGGTTTTATTTGTATTGTTACAATTATTGCAATTTCTTAATTAGAATATCTAAACTAATTTAAGCTTCATTTAAATATTTTAAGACATAATTATCTATTTCTTAGTCTTCTATCGTTTAAATATCTTTAAGACTAGATATTTCATCAGAATAAAACTTAATTATATATTAAGATAATTGTTATTATCTATTACTCTTTTAATATAAATCTTAACTATTTATTGAAGGAATCTTTTTTAAGTTATAGAAATTATTTCTTTTTATTATATTTCTAGATTTCTTTTATGATCTAATGTTATTCAAATAAATTGGTTTGACAATCTTAGAATTTTCTTAAGCTAATTCCAATCTATTCAATTCACTAGAGTCAGTTTAGAATTTTATTGAACTATTGTTTATCAAATATCTTCTATGTGATTTTTAAGTTCTAGTAAAGTCAGTTCTAGAAATTCCAAAACTATCTGTATTTGTACTTTCCAGTTTACTCTTCAATTTCTTCATATTTTGTATATTATTTATATTTTAGATCGAAATTAATAATGAAAAATTGTAAATTGTGTGGATAGAGCTCACAATAGCTTATTTTAGAGAAACTTTAAACAAAGTATTTTGAAGCCTTCAATTTCTATTTTGCTAAGCCAATTAATGAAATTCTGTCATCAATTGCTAATACTCCTCATGTAATCTATTATAAGGATTATGTGATATTAGATGAATAATAAGAATACATGAAAAGGTAGTAGAACTTCCTTAACATGTAGATATTATAAGAAAGAGGAAGTCAAACCAAGAATCGATATTTTAACAGACTTTTACGTGACGAATTACAAAGAGGCTCATCCTTACTTACTAGTTGTTGAAAGTCATGCATTAATGAGTAAAAGAAATAAGAAAATTGATAAGCTCTATTATTAGAGAATGTAAGAAAGCGAAAATTCTAATAAATCTTAGAATCCAATTATTATTAATAATGTTCTCAATTCAAAACTATCTTCAAAATCTTAAATAAGTTATGAAACAGAAGAACATGATATTTATTGCTCTTAAGATTAACCTTATAAATAAAATCGTATAGATTTTAAAGGTATTAATTTACTTGGTGGTGACGAGGAAAATAACTTATTTATTGAAATTTTAGATAAATAATATTAAAATATCAATTAAATGACAAATCAAAATAAATTACTGCCTTAAAATTTTTACATTAGATCTCCTCCATAAAGTCAATAAAATATATAAACCAATATAATTAAGGATCTTCATGCTATTAAAAGTGTAAAAAGAAGAACTAACAACATGGATCTTAGAGAAAAGAAAGGTATATAAATGGATATATAATTATATTTATAGGTATATTTGCTAATTCTAAGAGTGAATCAAAACATTCTTAATCAAGTTTCAAAATGTCTAAGATTAAAGATTCTGTTGATTAGTAAGTTGATTAGTTCTGTGAATATGTCTCTGGATAAATAGAACCATCTGATTTGGAAGGTAAGAATAAGATGTCTCGAATATAGAGTGATAATATTACTATTTAAAAGATGCTTAAGGAATATTAAGGCAATTAGAACCGATAATTAAGATCAACAATTTCATAAGATTTATTAGTTGCAAGTACATCTACTCTTATATAGGGATTTTAAGGTTCTCAAAAAAGTATTAAATAATAAGATTAAAACAATAATAATGGTAGTATATAAAATATATCTTAAAGACAAGAATAACTTAAAAAAGTATATCAACCACTTAACGTCTAATAAAAGAAAATAAATTAAAATCAATTAGATAGAATTACAAAAGGAGGATGTTTAACAGATAGAAATACTAAATAATTACCGATTTCTGAAGACTTATTTACCAAGTTGCATGATATCAAAATCAAAAGTTCTTAAAATGCAGATCTTTAAAAAAAACCTGAATTTAATTATATGATACCATCTTAATACAATGCTATGACTACTTTCAAAATTGCAAATAATAATAAAGCTAAATCTTAATACACTAAAAAGACTGTTGCACTTGATAATGCTACTAAATCATAACATTAATAATAGGGTAATCATAGTCAATCTAAGGTTCTCAATATTAATACACATAAAACTGATGATATTGTTAAAAAGTACATATAATTGGCTACTTAATCTATTTAAAATCATAAAAAATTTGATTTCAAATTGAATCTTTAAAATTTAAATAATAATGAACCTCATTTAGATGAAGAATTCTGTATTTATAAAACATTATATATTAAATAGAAAATAAACGATTGAATTTTCTTACTGAAAGACATAGTTAATAATAATAAGACAAAGATTAATTTATAACTCATAGAAAAATTGTGAATAAATGAATGTTACCAAATTATAGACTGATATATTTATCAATCAAATTATATTCAAATATCCAATATATACTTTCATTATGAGCGCATTCTATTATTTTAAATCATTAATTTAAGAATAATTTAAATTATGAAGCAACTAATTAAATATTTTATAATATTATGAATATTATTAAAATTATTGATTAGCATTATTCGGATGGAATTTAATGCCTAAAAGAGTGTGTTTGAATTGCTTAGACTATCCTTTCCTTAATAGATATTAGAAAATACATTAATAAATTACAAGACATATTTATATAGGATATTAAATTTAAAAACATAATATTAGGATATAGATGAAATTATAATAGAGAAGGAAATCAATGAGATTGATAATGTATGTATAAAATAATAATGAAAAAGAAAGTGTTATAAAATAGATTAAGAGATTGCATTATGTAAGTGCAAAATTCTAAAAGTCAAAAAAAACAGGAGATAATTTACTTTCTTTTAAGAGTTAGTTAATTAGTAAGATAAGATATTTTTAATAAGAGTTAAATAAAGCCAATATTTGATAATTTATATCCTCTAAAATAATCAATAGATATTGAGAATTAATAGTCAACAAATTAGACAATAAATAAGTTAGAAAATAGTTTAATAAAAAGTATGATTCTAGAAAGATAATAAGTAAAAAATTATATAAATATAGAATAGTATTGCTTAAGAAATAAATAATGGAGATTTGATGAAAGATTTATTGTTTTGTTTGTAAGGAATAGAAGGTCAATATATTTAATTTGATGCATCATCAGATTCATTTTGTTTAAGAAAAGATGTTAATGTATCAATATCAGTAAGATAATTAATAAATTTGATTTCTGAATGTGGATGGTTATATAAGAAGATTTATTCATTTTGTTAAATCCAATAATCAAATCTTATAGTTCAGGCACTTTAAAATACAATTAAATTAGAATTATCTGAATATTATAAATTAATAGCAAATTTAGAAGGGTTGATTCTATCTTCATAATGTAATAATTTAGATATTTATATAGTGATTACTTTAAAGAGAATATATTTTCATCTCTAATCTTCTTATAATTATATGTTGTTTATTAATTAATTACTTTCCATAATCTAAACTAATGCATCTCTTGGAACTACTTCAACTTTAATAATAAATGTTCTTGAACAATTTTCAAAACATGGATGTTCTAAGACAGCAGAACTTTTTATACGTTTATAATAAGCAAGTTGTTAACCTTTAATTAAATATATAAATTAATGGATGTTCGAAGGTAATCTTCTTGATATAGCAAATGAATTTTTTATAGAAAGAGATGAATAAAAATTATTAATTAAAGATTAAGGAGAATTATGGAGAAAATAATTTAGGATTAATTATGATAAAATACCAGTTGTAATTTCATATGATGAAGCGTATAAAATCTATGATACAGGTAGAGCCATAAATTGGTTGAGAAAATAATGTGATAATAAAAATTGTTATTTGAATATCTAACCATTAACCATTAATATGCTTTAAACTGATTAATTATCTTAATTAATTAATTAAGCCAATAAAAATGCTAATTAACAAATTGTTAATTTGCTATTTGATAAATTTAAATTAATGGAACATTTTAATATTATGAGATAATATTTTTTATTAGGGAATGGAAATTTCTCTTAATTATTTATTGAAACCCTCTACTCAGAATTATCAAAAAATGCACATTTAATTTATAAACATACCTTAACTAGTTTACTTGAATCTACACTTAGATATAGTAATGCAAATTAAATGGTTTAATAGAGATTTTCAGTCAAATTATTAGAGGCTTAAAAAAATGATATAGGCTGGGATATTTTTTGTTTAGACTATGATTTTTAAGAACCACTTAAAACTATTTTTAATCATAGAGCCATGCTTAGTTATTATGAAATTTTTAATTACTTATAACGTATTAAACGGGTAGAGTACACACTTAATTAATCATGGATTTAATAAATTAAAAATAAGCATCAATTAAATACGAAATCAAATGTAAACAAAGCATTGAATTTAAGTTTGTAAATCATGAATTAAATGATTCATTTTATTAAGAATTTCTTTAGTTATTTGATGTTTGATGCTATTGAAACTCCTTGGAAAAAATTTATGGATTAAATTAATACAATAACAAATTTAGATCAACTTATTTAGTTACATGAATAAATATTAAATGAAATTATTGAAAATACATTTTTACATCAAAAACAAGAAGAAATTCAAATAGTATTGCTTAAATTATTTGAAATTTCATTCAGATAAAAAAAAAATTAAGAACATCTCTTTCTATATGTAAGAGAATTAGAGAAATAAGGTCGAAGTGATAAATTAGAATAATCCTTCGATTCAATTAAATCATAAGTAAATACTCCAAATTATAATTAAAATATTGATACATCTTTTAAAGAATAAGAAATTATTAAATTATTGTTACAATTAAGATAAATGTATAGAGAATAAATGTTGGAATTGATTAGGCATCTCTAAAATGAAGATAAACTAAAATTTTTATTATTTAAGCTAGATTTCAATGAATACTACTATTTGTTANATAAAATACCAGTTGTAATTTCATATGATGAAGCGTATAAAATCTATGATACAGGTAGAGCCATAAATTGGTTGAGAAAATAATGTGATAATAAAAATTGTTATTTGAATATCTAACCATTAACCATTAATATGCTTTAAACTGATTAATTATCTTAATTAATTAATTAAGCCAATAAAAATGCTAATTAACAAATTGTTAATTTGCTATTTGATAAATTTAAATTAATGGAACATTTTAATATTATGAGATAATATTTTTTATTAGGGAATGGAAATTTCTCTTAATTATTTATTGAAACCCTCTACTCAGAATTATCAAAAAATGCACATTTAATTTATAAACATACCTTAACTAGTTTACTTGAATCTACACTTAGATATAGTAATGCAAATTAAATGGTTTAATAGAGATTTTCAGTCAAATTATTAGAGGCTTAAAAAAATGATATAGGCTGGGATATTTTTTGTTTAGACTATGATTTTTAAGAACCACTTAAAACTATTTTTAATCATAGAGCCATGCTTAGTTATTATGAAATTTTTAATTACTTATAACGTATTAAACGGGTAGAGTACACACTTAATTAATCATGGATTTAATAAATTAAAAATAAGCATCAATTAAATACGAAATCAAATGTAAACAAAGCATTGAATTTAAGTTTGTAAATCATGAATTAAATGATTCATTTTATTAAGAATTTCTTTAGTTATTTGATGTTTGATGCTATTGAAACTCCTTGGAAAAAATTTATGGATTAAATTAATACAATAACAAATTTAGATCAACTTATTTAGTTACATGAATAAATATTAAATGAAATTATTGAAAATACATTTTTACATCAAAAACAAGAAGAAATTCAAATAGTATTGCTTAAATTATTTGAAATTTCATTCAGATAAAAAAAAAATTAAGAACATCTCTTTCTATATGTAAGAGAATTAGAGAAATAAGGTCGAAGTGATAAATTAGAATAATCCTTCGATTCAATTAAATCATAAGTAAATACTCCAAATTATAATTAAAATATTGATACATCTTTTAAAGAATAAGAAATTATTAAATTATTGTTACAATTAAGATAAATGTATAGAGAATAAATGTTGGAATTGATTAGGCATCTCTAAAATGAAGATAAACTAAAATTTTTATTATTTAAGCTAGATTTCAATGAATACTACTATTTGTTATCATAAGAAAAACTATTTTCTTTAGGATTTGATAAGTAATTTATTATATTCTATATCCAGATTATTATAACAGTGTATTCCCATTTAACCTAAAGATATGGGTAGTTAAAAAGTTCTATCTGAAAAACCTTAACTTTAATAATAAAAGCATTTGGCACCCTAATTCAATCAAAAATCAAAGACTATCATCCAACAAGATTATAACTAGATAAAAGAAGGAAGTATATATTTCTATCATATCAAAAGTAAGACTGTTTGAAGAATAAAAGAAATAAAAAGAAAATTAATAAAAACACTAATAATCATCTAAACGAAGAGAAGCTTCACAAGAATTTTAAAAACCGATCTTTAGGCCTCTTTTACCTACACAATAACCATAATAACCTTTACTTACTCTAAGTCAAATAAATAAATAATCTGCTGCTTCTTCTATCTCTCCTAATAATATATTCTAGTCTTCACCTTTACAAAGTTTTTAATAATAATTTGAATAATAAATTTTATAATAATAATAGATAAACCAAAAACTTTAATAATTGCAATTGTAGTAATAATAAATTTAATAATATCAATAATTTTAATTAAAACCTTAAGTAAAAACATAGTTACCACCAAAATTTAGTACTTCCCCTTTCCAAAAACAATCATATCAACAAAATTAAAATAGTTCTGTACCATTTTCCCAAAATTAAAGCCAATCTTAAATAAGTATTTTATATCCTAATAAAAATGATCTGTCGTTTTCTTAAGATGAGAATCTCCAACAATTAATGGAAAAATAATTTAATTTTGATGATGACAGCATTAATGAAGATTTAATTTGAATCATCTTTGAATTAATTAATATAAAAATAAATTTATATGAATACTATAATGGAGGAAATCATTTTAGATCTTAACATTATAAAATATTTTAGAAACAATTGGACCTAAAATATATTAATCTAAAAATACAAACCAGTACAATAAAAATAATCAGCTATTTAATGAAGGCAAATTATTTAAAAATAAACCTTTACAAAAAGATTTAACCAAAAGCAAACAAAATTTTAATCTATAAAAAATTCAACAAAGGATATTATAACAATAGATTTAATAGTTATTTAAGCTTAATCAGTTATTAAAAAAAATTAGAATAATAGAAATCCTAGATTTAAAAAAATGATGCAAAATGAATAAATTATTTAGTTTATCCTATCACATCATTTAAATCAATCTAAAATTAAAGACCTTTTCAATCTTTTTTAAAAGCTTCTTAATTGTATATACTTTTATTAAAAAGTTTAATTTTTTATTATATACTACTAAATGCAATATAACTAAGAGTTAAAACGAAAAACTTGTAATTATTTTAAAACATCTAAGCATTATTAAATATTTTTTGTTTTGAAGGTAAAAGCTATTTCATTATTCAAATATACTCTTTATAATAATGCATGGCTTCTTATTTTAGAATATAATATATATAAAAGAAGAAAAAAAAATAGATATCATTTTAATTAAAATAAAATAAAAATGCGTATTAATTTTTATAAATAAAGAATTTTTATATAAGTTTATAAGAAAATCCGAAATTCCTAACATCATGATTTTACGATCTTAAACTTAAAAGATAGTTGTAAAATGGAAATTATAATAATATTTGAAACTATTTTTTGACTGATCCTTAATAGTTAATATAGATTATTAACTATATTGAATTATCTGAAATCAAAATACAGATCAAACACTTCCCAACTTAAAATAGTTTAATATGAAATGAAATCGGATTTTTTAAGAATATTCTAAATGTAGAGTATAATAGTGAAAAATTATCATAACAATTGATTATTTACTGTGAGTTATAATATAATTTTTTTTATTTTTAATAAAATTGAAAGTAGTCTTCTTTATTGAATTAGATATTGATATATTAAAGCTTTGGGAGATAGAGTTTATTATGAATTGCTATTTTGATTCATTTTAATTAATTATAAAGATTCATCATAAATTATGCTACTATATTAAATTGTATTATTGATTCGTGTGGTAAATTAATTATATCAATGTTTCAAGTTGATGATAATCCTTAACTAAAAAATCTCAATCTTTTTCATCAGATTAATACTGGAAAGTATGAGGATATTCAAATCAAAATCTAAAAGCTCGAATCTACATTTTTCTAATGTTTAAGCTATAGTAAACAGGAATAAATGTAGTAAATTGAGAAACTACAAGGCAATAATTAACAATTATATGATAATGAACAAAATATCAATAATGAGTTATTCAAATTAGAACAATTTGAAAAATACATTACTTAATACTTTGCTCAACTTCGTTAATAATTTGGAAATATTAAATCCATTTGTTTCATGACTTCTTAATAATTAAACTTATTTTTCGAAGAAGCTCTGGAATAATTGAACAACAAAACAAAGTTGTATTAGGATATTCTAAAACTTAAACTTATATAAAATTCATAAGGTATACATTCTTTTATATATTTTAAGATTTATTTTCAAAAGCATATCCGACCTATACAAACTTAATACTTAAGAAATGGTATTTAAACAATTATTGTTATCCATACCCTAATTAGTTCGAAATCAAAAAATTAATAAATAAAACACAGCTATCTAAGAAAAAAGTATAATTTTTTTTTTAATTAAGATATTAAATTGGTTTATAAATGCTCGCAACAGCTTTAAGAGAAAAAAATAAAAAAAATAAAAATATAAATTCTTAGTGCAGGAACAATATTATACTTTATTCCAGTCAAAAAAATAATCCTTAAACTCAAGTTAAGAATAATCAAATTAACAAATTTTATTTTGAAAATTATTGATCAGTCATTAATAAATATTATAACCAATTATATTATATTCAATATAATTAATAATATTAATTATTTTTTATTTACAATTTTTCAACTTTGCTTAAACTCACTAATATTCTAGATTTCATATTCTGTCATTAATTTTATTGTTATAATTTATCCATCCATACTAGATATTAAAAAATCCCATATTAATACCTAATTTTTCAACAGCAATAAGTTTGATTTAACTCTTTTTAAAAATAATATTTAAAATGATTAAATGAGCAAAATATAAATCGAAAAATAAATTGAAATATGTATTCGATAATTTTGAACTTCAATAATTTAGATTTTTTTTTCAAGTAGATAAACAAATGTTTATTTAGCTTAAAGGTTATAAATAATTATATGATTAATCTATATAGCTACTCAAATTTTTCTTTGATCTTTGATTAATTGATTAGACCATCTAATATTTTTATTGATTAAAATGATTATAACATTATTAACTTATAATTTAAAATAATTTTCTAACTTTTAAAATAGATCTTTCTAAATTTATCAAATTAAGTAAATTTTTAAAATAATTAATACAATTCTATACCATTCTAATAAACTAACTTTCAAAAAAATATATTATTACTATCCATTCATTTTAAAAATCTTCAAAGCAAATCTTTTTGATAATTCAAATGTACTAATTTCTAGGAGATAATGAATTTTTTACTGCTAAAATATTTTTTTCGATTATTACATTCTCTGAAATACTGGCGCTTATAATAAAGTTAGTCATAAAAAATTATTTAAACTCCTAATAAAAATGGGCGTTTACATAAATTCTTTTTTCTCTTACCTCAAAAATATTTTAATCATTAATATTATATATTTCAAAGACTTAATTTTCATTATGAAACTTTTCAACACATTTATTTGATAATTTGGAATATAATAGAAAAGATTGTTATTTATTTCAAAATATTCATGTCTAAGATAATGATAATTTTAATATCGATAGAATCTATCCCATTAAAATTTTAACGTCTTGTAATTTTTTAAGGAAGAATAATAAAGTTAAAATAAAAATAATATCAATTCTAATGGAAGAAAGTTCTCTAATTAAAAACTTATGTAGAAAATTGAACTAAGAAATTTTAGTTATTTATATTATATTAGTAATACTAAGCTCCATGAATTAATAGATTTGAACTCTTTTAATTACTCAGATCAACATTTATATCTCTAAAAAATTTATTTGTATTAAATTATAAAACAATATAAAAAAACATAAATCTATAAATTGAAATAAAATTTAGATAAGTACATAAAGTTTTCAATATTATTTAAATAATATTTTTCCTTTTTTTACTTCTAATTATTTATTTAGAGAAACTGACCTAACCTCTCTTGTGGATTTTGGAGCTTCAACTTTATAATCAGTTACTAGATTAATTTTATGTAGATTATCTTCATTAATATTATTAATTTTGATCAAATTTTTAGTATTTTAATATAAGAAGGTATTGAGATTTACATCTTCCTTAATAGATTATAATACTAAATTCACATGATTCGGAAATAGTTTTTAGTATATAAAGACTAATAATTTTTCATTACTAACTACTAATTCTAAAATTTTGATTTTATCTTCTTTATAGAACTATTAAAAATCTTATATTGAATCCAAATAAGATTGTTATTATTAAAAATTTCCTAAGGGTCTTTTTTTAAAAATTTCTCTTCTTACAGCATCAATACATTCTAAAAAAAAATATTCTAAATCACTCCTAATAATGCTTTTCTTATTTTAAGATATTAGAAGTTTCTAGACTTTTTCTTTTAGGATTTTAGTTTAATTTTAATATTTTTATTCAATAATGGTAACATATCTATGAAAAATATAAAAATTATAATACTTTGTGATTTTTTCAATAATTTCATCAGATTTAAAATTTTCTTTAATCAACTCATCATTTGGAAACATATCTTTAATAGAAGAATAATGATGTTTGGATAGAGATGAATTCAAATCAACCTTTGAATGATAATCAGTAAACCTTTTTCTGTTAGATTCTTTATTTAAAATTTATAATGATAATACTTTGTTAATTAGCAGGAGTAGTTGTACAAAATGTCTAATCTAATTATGCAATTTAGAATTATTCTTTATCAATCTCTTATAATTTAAGCTTTTTCATTAATGATTTAATTTATTATTCTAAAAAATCATTAGTTTTTTAAAGCTCTGCTAATTTAAACTTTAACTCATAATTTTCTTTATTTTTCAATTCAACTTTTTAGTATAATTTTAAACATTCATCTCTAAAATAAACCTTATTAATTAATTATATGTTACCAATTCGTTTTCATTATTTAAAATTTTCCCTTTATTTTAAGTTTGAATACTTTATTGTATTTCTGTTTTATATCGTAATTCTTTTAATTCTGCTTTTATTTTTTTCATATGACTCTGATAAGCAATAATAAACTCAGCTTCATTTTTTAATTTAATTTTATTAACAATGTCAGTTAATTCATTCATATATTGTACTAATTATTAGAAAGCTTCTGCAACTTTAGCTTATTATGAATTTTCATTTGATTATTACCTTTCTTTATGTAAATCCAATTACATATTTAATTAATAAAAAAAAGTTGTTAAAGTATATTAATGCACAAAAGCCCTCTTCTAAAGGAAAATATCCGATTAAATAATAATCAAAGACCAACTTATTTGAGCAAAAGCAAATTAAAAACATCTTCTTTAGAAAAAAACTCAAATTCAAACCGATCATTATTAAACGAAATTTAAAACTAAACTCCAAATTAACCTAAAAAAAATACATCTACATAACCATCTGATCAAAAATTACATAATTGTATTTAGATAAATTATAAAAGAAGGTTAAATTCTGAAATCACTTATGAAAATATAAAATAGAACCAATCCAATATTAACTTAATAGAATTGCTATGCTGGCATAAAATTGAACTTTAATAATTACTTATGTAATATTATATATTTATATAAACAAGCGAATGAAGAAAAAAGAATAAATACAAATCAATACAATTCGTTAAATTAAACAGTTTAACCATCCCCTAAAGCCAAAACAATTTCATTATCCACATATACAGTAAATTCAGTAATTTATTAATAGAGTACTTAAAGTCCAGAAGTTAGAGAAAAAGAGATGAGATAAGAGAAAATTACTTCATTTAAATAGTTAATTCAATAAACAAAATAAAGTTTAGAGAAAATGAAAATATAAGATATCAAACATTCTATTGATAATATTTTCGATAGTACTATTCAACCATTACTTTAATTAAAAGTACTGAATATTTTTATTAAATTAGAATGATGTTATAAAATAAATTGAGAAATGTATTAATGCTGAACAATATTAAATTCGATCAACTATTGATTCATTAAAGAAAATGGAAGATGATATCTTATCTAATGAATTCAATATCATAGAATATATGACGATGGGACCTTTTAATGAGATTATGTCAATTTATTAAAAGAGGTTTTAAGAACATTCTATTTTCACTTAATAATTAACTTAATAAGAACTTGTAATAAATTAATTTTAAAAATTGCATGATAATTTTACTTAATAAAATTAATTGTTATGTAAGTAATTATAACAGTCTTTTTAAACATATTTATCTTTATTTATTTCCTTTTAAAATAAGGAGGACTTTTATGAATTGAAAGATAATAATAACGTTCATTAATATACTTAAAGCAATAATTAATATACATAAGAGAATTTATTTTAAACTTGTGAAACTAACAATTCTATTGATGAAGATTAAGTCATCATGAAGGATTAATAAGTTGTAAGAATTCCGGATAAGACATCTTAATTTACTTAATTACTCATGATGAAAGGATTAAATAATTCTAAAAAAGTGATTTTAGCAGAATCACCACAATTCAAAAATTGATTATACTTTAGTTTTAATGTATTTAAAAAATCAAACCTAAATAATATGAGATTTTATTTAAAATCCAAATTTTAATATATCACGGTTTAGCAGTTAAAATTCTTACTATATCATTAAACAAATTTGGCTTTTAAGGAAACCAAATATTTATAAATCCATTTAAATCTATACTAATTTTATTTTCATCTTTAATTATTTTACTTTTTCTTTTCTTTCTTTCTGATTTATATTATAAAACGCCTTAAAAACTAAAATCTTATTCTGTTTTATTAATTTGAGTAATTAACATAACCTTTTTCTTTGTTGGAGTATTTTTTTATTAATTTATTGTACAATCTTAATCCATATCAATATTTATATCAAAGGAATTCCTTTAACTAACTTTTCCAAATAATCTTCCTCTACCATCATTTGAAATAACTGATTATCTCCTTTATTAGAGAATTACACTCTAATCTAATTTAACTCTCAAGACACTCATAGGTAAAGTATATGAATTCATTTGTTTAATATCATGATTAATCTGATTTGATATTTAAACCTTTGTTTATTTAATCATATGTAGAATATCCAATTCAATTGATGGATTAGTATTTTATTTTAATAATTCAACCAAATTATGAGTTGTTATTTCTGCTTAATTATTTATATCATACACGAGAAAGCATAATCGAATTTACTATTTCAAATCTAAATTTTCGATTTTTTATATCCATTGTTAGTATTAATTAAAGCTCAGAATTTAAGGTATTTTAAAGACTTTTGCAATTTATTCACATATAATATCAGGAAAATGCCTTTGTAGATATTTGATTAATTATTATTTTGTTATCCTTATATTTCTAATCTATATTGTCTTACATTTTAATTTGATGTCTGATTCTTACTCAATTCGACTAATTTCTCCTAAAACATCAGCTAATTATTAAGGCACTTCTTGAGTAATGGATAGAATTCTCATCAATTTCTAAGGAGATTATGTACTTCTTCTTTCTTGTCGTAATAATATTGAACTAGATAATTTAGAACTGCTTCTCCCTGTGAATTCTTCACTAATTTTTTATTGTTATCCATGTTCAATTGTTGTTGTTGCTTTTCTTGATTATTTCTTACTTTAAACTTTGCTAACTGATCCACTTATTAATTGATTTCTTATTTTCAACTTAGATATCAGAGGAGCTTTAATAGCTATATTCAAATGTATTACTTAATAAATTATGTTTATATGCTTTCTTAACAAACTCATTTAATTCATTATTTAACATTTTAATACAATTACATTATTAATTAGTTCTCACAACGAACTTATATTAGAATTCAAGTATCATTTTAATGCTAATATCTTTCAGATAAAATAATAATATTATTTTTCCGTATTACTCATATATTGAATTTCAAAATATTATTTTGTTTTTTCTGATTTAAATATATACTTAATATTATCAATATATTAAATTGATTTCAATTTATTTTTCATTCAATTTTTCAAATAAATATAATATTATATATAATATTGAGTAAAATTATTTTTAAATATTAATTTATAAAGATAAAGAGTATTGATAAAATCATTAACAAAAAATCATTAGATAAAGATTTATTAGTTAGAAGGATCATTATGATTATTATTAAAAAATAAAGATCTTCTTTTAATTTCTTTTGATATTTTAATTTTATCTGATGATGATGAACTCTCCATCTGTGTAAGTTTATGTGATTTTGAATTCATTAAGGAATCATTTTTTTTGATCTTCTTTTTGATCATTCTTTTAGTGATTGACTTTTTATGTTTAAGATTACTTTTTGGTGTTAAGGTATCATCATTGTTTTCTTATTTCGTTTTAAATACATTAAATTCTATAGGAATGTTTTTTATTAATTTTCGTTTTTCCTACACAAGCATTTCAAAGTAAGAGGATTAATAAATATCATCTAAATCTCCATTAAGTTCTAGGTATTACCTCTTTAATTTATAAATAATATCATTTTTTGAACATCTAACACAAGAACATAATCCCTAAATGGGAATAGTGAGATATTTACTTTACATAGAGGACAAATCCATAAAAATTGTGTGGTTTCATAAGAATCAAATTCATACTTCAAGCATTTAAAACAAAAGTATCTTTTGCATTAGATCTATTAATCTATAATAAGTTATAATTTAACATACTTTCAATAATGTAATTGGTAGAATAAAGATCTAAAAAATATTATTATTAAGACTTTGCATTAATTTAATATCTTTAACAAATTAATAAATCTTCATTGTATTCATTTAATCCCATTGAATAATGATTATATGAACACTATTTAAGATTTTTAATATCAACCATTTATTTACAAAAATGACACATCTACATTTCGAAAACATCCTAAATGAATAGATATAGATTTACATCAGATCTGAGACCAGGTAATTAATCAGAAAATTCATAAGGTACTTCTCTTAATTTTTGAAGGTTAGCGAAATGTTCTAAGTTGAGATCAATTTAAGTATGACTCAAATACTTATCAAAGATTACAGTAATGGTGTTACCTATAAAAAAATAGTTAATTTGAATTTTACTTGATTCATTAAAGGTTGCTTTACCAATACTTTCAGCAACTTGATAATTTTGATGTAAAATAATTAGATCCTTCAATATTGATAGTTCTTCTTAATGATTTTTAATTCTGATTCTGGTTAATTTGATGGAATGATCTTGAATAATTTAAGAAGTGTAGGTGAAGAATAGAGTATTATTGATTTCATTAACATGTTATTCAAGTCTAATAAAATAAAGGGAGAATTTTACTATGAAAGAGAATTTGAATTGTTAAGTTATTCAAGTTACTATTCAAGTGATTGGATCTATTAAGCTAATTCATCTTGACAATCTATCATCTGATGTAAATTAGTTAATATTTAATTTTCTTAATGATAAATTAGTTATTATTGTTACTCAGACATTTGAGACATATTTTTAATGAGATCTTATGATTGTTGTAATCCTTCAATAAGATGAGCAAAACAAATTTAATCTATTAATTCATCAATTAAATTTTAAATGGGTTCTGAATGTTATTATCTTGATTAAAAAAGTAATGAAAGTCTCTGTTTTAAGTTGATAAAGTTTAATTAAGATAATTTAGATCTGTTACTTAATTTGAGTATTTTATCTAATAATTTATGACAATTTACGTTTACATAATTAGACACTATTTTATGAATAAAATGATTACTTTTCTTTTTGAAGAGATTGATTTCACAGAGATTAATAGGAGAGTGAACCATGAAAAATGACTCATTAATTTCCCTCCAAAAATATGATGTAAAGATTGATTCTCCATTTCTATCCATTTAGCAATATAAATATTAATTTAGAATGAATAAAATAATTATAAAATAACAAATAGAAATCACAGTAATGTAAAATAAAAATATTAATTCAATTTTGATTTTAAGCTAAGTTTTATAATTCTCTTTCTTTTTCTTATTCTTTTTCCTTTTCTGCATCAATGACTGCTTAATCTCTCCAATCATAACCAACTTCTTTAAGTACAAGTCCTAAAATAATTCCGATAACATTTAATGAAAAACAAATCCAAAAGACTCCTTCCCATTTAATTTATTTTCTAGCAAAAGCATATAAAATATATCCAATCATATTAGAGACTCCAACAAAGAAAAACATAAATCCATACATTAAACCCCCAATCTTCTTTCCATAAATCTTAGCACAAATGACTGGATAAGTAGCTAATAATCCTCCTTCAGCAAGATATACTACAGCTATCAATAAAAGATAGCCAATTCCATCTTTATTATATGGTAAAATAGCAGTTGTTATTAGATTAAGAATTGATATTAAAGTAAATGTGAATTTATATGATGTTTTATCTGTTAAAGTAGCCCAAAAGAATCTTGATGATCCATTCATTACTCCTGCAACTGATCCTGTAGCAGTTAAAGTAGCATCATCTATACCCAACTCTAAACCATAATATTTATAGCAATTTGATATCAACATACCAAAAGTGCAAGACATCAAAACTATTAATTGAAGAATAACAAAAGATGGATGTTTTATGCCTCTAGAACTAATAAAATAAATAAAATATCTTACACTTCTACACATTCTTTATGAGCAGGTAAAACTGGAGGAGGAGGAGGAGCTGCACCTTCTTTTCTTTTTTTTTATTCTTCAGCATCTAAAGTAGCTAACATTTTATCAGGATCTATTTCAGATGGGTATCTAATCATTATTGTAGCTATTATGCCTAATCCAAGATAGCTGGCAGCCAAGACTTACAACATTAAGGGAACTTCATCTCCTACTTAATTATCAAAGTATTTGACATCTTTTCCATCTTCTTTCTCTATTACTGTAGGCTTTAAATTATTTGGGTTTGCTATTGCCTTACAAACAAAATTAAAAATAAATGACCCAAATCCATATCCACCAATTGTCATGCCTGATACTAATCCTCTTCTATTAGGAAAGTATCTCCATCCACATATAATTGGTAACATATACAATAAACCACCAGATATTCCAACCATTATACAATATACTGCTATAAATCCTCCTATCTCTTAGATGAATGAGATTATCAAAAAAGCAAGTGCTATTGTAAATGATCCTATTCCTATCGTAACTTTAAATCCAATTCTCTCTGCTATCTTTATTCCAAATGAAAGAACTGACATTGTTATTACTCCAAGTATTGGAAATATTATAGCCATGAAGTTTAGTGTTACTCCTTTGTCTTTTTCTCTCATCCATGCAGCTACATAAGGACCTATTAAAATATTATTTTTAATTTATTACTTATTGATCCCCAAACATAAAAAGTTCCCAGTTCTAAATGTAAAATTACACCTCCTATCAATGAAATTATTCCCCTCTTTGTAAAGTTTTTCATTTCTTCATCTGAATATATTTCTTTGTTCTAATTTATTTAAAGATCTGTCTTCATCGGACTACTTGATTCGCTCATCTTATGAAGTAATTTGTTTTATTCACTCCCTCCATGTCCTGTTGTTAATGCTAGACCATTTGTCTAACCAATCGATTATCCATCTCTTTGTTCCATTATTTTTTTATAATATTTTTTGAATTAATTATATCTTATTGCTAATTATTATAAAACCTCATAAACTCAAATCTCATAATATATATTTATAGTATGTCATCAAAAATGATGCACTTTTAATTAAATTTATTATAAATTTCAATTAAAATTTTATAAATTTTTTATAATATTTTTATTAATCAAGCATTTTCAGAAATCGCTCTATCATTCATTTTATGTTTCTTTCTATCTCTAAAGTTATTTATCTTATCTTAATCTACTTATTATTGAATTATCCACCTGTTATCATTGTTTATTTAATTCTTTTAGGTTTTCAAAAGAAAGTCTTAAAATACTCTTATCATACAATATTCTTGTGAATTAAAGATCATAAATATTGTATTCTTTATTAATTATATGAATTGAAATCAATACATCTATAAATTAACTATATAATTTATTGGAAAGAAAATATTTATAAAAAATATAAAAATTTAATTTTTTATATTATTAATTTTAATAATGAATAATTAAGAGTTGACAATTTAAGAAAAAATAAAGATGGCATAGTAATATAAAGATGAAGGAAATTAATATTTTAAAAATTAAGATTGGAAAAAAGCATTAACTTGTTATCATAAAGTATTTTTATACATAAATGGTTTGATAAGTTAAGAAAATGAATTGGCTTAATATGCTAAGGTAAAATAATATAATATAAATATAGAATCAATTAACAACTTAAGAAGAGACTAATATTATTCAATAATTAAAATGCTAAACATTTGGAAATATGGCTTAAGTCTATATTAATTAATAAAAGTATGACAAAGGAAGAGAAGTTGCGAAGAAAAGTTTAGAGATTAATAAGAATATCAAAGTCCTGTATAGATTGGCTATTTGCAACATTGAATTAAATAATTTGGATGAAGCTAAGGAATAGTTGATTGAAGTGCAGAAAACTGATAATAAAATAGACATAAGAGATTAGTTAAAATAAATCCAAGCCAAGGAAGCTAAATAAGATAAGGTGATGGCTTAGGCAATGAAAAAATTATTTGTTTGATTTTATAAATAATAGTATAGAAACAAGCAATCTTTTAAATGTAGTTTATATTCATTTAACTTTTCTAGAAGAATTCGAGATCCTATAATAATATGTAAAATAATAATTATATCAATATCAATAATAATATTACATCATATACAACTCCTTCTAAAGTTCGCAAAAGGTTTTATTCGATTTTATAAAATGTGCCAAAAAATCTTGATGACTTTTAAAACATTTTGATTTTTTGAAGCTTAAGACGGCTTATTTCGAATATAACTAAACGACAAATATATTCTTAGCTTAGATTTTTTACAAAGTTCGAATAATGCAATGAATATTAAAAAAATGTTGAGCTTACTGTTTAGGATTTTTTTGAAAAATGTCAAGACTATTTGGTGGGATTATCTTAAGTGAACAGTTATTGCTACTATATCTATGATAACTAAAGGGGCATTAAGTGGTTTTTAATACAATAGAATAAGTAATAAAAGAACCTTTCTATTTATTGACAGACAATCAACTTTATTTTTTTGAGTTTGATCAGGATGACCATTCCCATTTGTAAACTAATTAATAATAAGTCAATTATATTTCACTTGCTAGAGAAGAACATTTTGATCTAATACTTGGTTAGAATGGATTATTTCTTGCTGTAAAATTTTAACACAATATTACTTAAATAATGGTTGGAATGATATGGTGAAAGTGATTCCTGATTTTTATAAAATATGAGAAATACTTAATTATATTA